GCTTTTGCTTTACCTATTAAACTGTCTTTATCTCAACCCATGAGTTTTCTCACTTTTACCCTTCTGATTCTCTCCCCCATCCCACCTGAGGGGGGTGAGCGAGCAGCTGCTTGGTGCTCAGCGGCCGGCTGGGGTTAAACCACGACACATGGCAATCATTTTTTAGAACTGAGTGGCAAAATAAAGCAGCACATAGAATTTGGGTTCATGTACGGTCGTTGCCACTAAAACTTTTACTGCTTCATTCTGCAAGGAAGCAACATGACTAAATCTATCTGTATTTAGAGAAGAGGAGATCGTAAATAATTTTGAAGGTATCCTTAAAGGATTTTTTTTGTGTGAACAGTAAGAACAAAAACCCATTTTACTTATGAGCCTTGCATGCCCACCACAGTTGATCAGCTGAAAACAGATCCTTATTTTCCTCAGACAGGCAAGAACGACGTAGGCATATAAAACGCCATTGATCACCAAACCCACAATCAACATTAGGAAGAAATGTAGGAGGTCCGGCTGCAGGCACTGAACTCAAAGTTTGCAACGACCTGTGTGTGCTGGGTTTGAACTGTAGCCAAAGCAGAGGCCTGTTGCTCCCATACAAGTAGAAGCACACTAAGCAGGGTTTAATTAAATTAGTCTGTCTTCAACTCAAACATAAGCAAACTAATACAACATAGCTAGTAAACAACAGTTAAGCATTTTTGTACCCAATGGCCCAGTTAAAATAGTACTGCCATGCCTAGGAGCAGGCCTATGTTAATTGTGCCTAATGCTAAATTAGGTCTTGTGATCAACTTGTTACGAGAACTTACTGTATGAACCTGAGCTTGGTACATGATGTCTTTTGTTATGACATACAACTTAAGTGCGGGCCTTGAAAACATGGACACAGGTTTAAAGCAGCAACGCCAAAATAATAAGCAACTTGCTGATGGCCAATTAGTGCAAGAAGTGCAACTCTGAGATCCGGGAAGGCACTGCTTTTGCTTTAGGAAAAGCAGCAACAGCTAAGCAAGGGAGAAAAAAAACCCAGAACAAAAAACAACCAACAGATGTGCAGCAGGATAAGGCACCTGTCTTGGCCTGGGAAAGTAACACCCATCCAGTACCGCACAGTCCATAGTCCAGGCACAGAGGCCAAGGGGTAAGATCTGTTCAGAGACCAAAATGTCGTATAAAAAGAGATCTTGAATTTAAGAGGTGGAGAAAAAAGATGTCCGCTTTGGTTCCAGTTGCCCTTATTGAAGGGTTCTCGAGTCCGATTGCCTTGACAGCTAGCACCATCCGTGCTAACTACGCTGCACTAGCTCCAGCATATTATATACTCATGACTAACTTAGGATATGATTATCAAGAAGAGATTGCTTTGAATATGCATTGATAATTATTATTAAAGATTAAGATCTAAATATTAGCAATGTGTGTTGTTAATGAATAACAATCTAGTAAAGGGGGTTTTTGGAAGTTTAAAACTGACCTGGGTTATCAGTCTTCTAAACAATCACAGCAATCTCCAATTACCCAGGGACTGATACACAAAACACATGCCCCTATCGAGTTGCAGCACAACTATTCAGTGTTCAGGGGGCATATCGGACATGGGTTAAACTGCTTCTAGCAAACTTCTGCCATGTTACAGGCCGCAGGAGATTAGCTACGGATATTGGTAGCACTACCTAGCTCTTAACTTTATGCTTTAACCTGGTCTTTCTAGTCAAACAGTTTTTCTGCAGTTTTATAGGCTTTTGCTGTCTTTTGCTATCATATACGGCTGCCTTCACCAATAAAGGAAGCAGCTGTATACACATCCTCCACAGGGAGACCACACAACTAATAAACTTAGACAATTAAAACCATGACATGTAAATATTAAGTGTATCTTGAATATACTGTGTATAACCTTTTACCCTCTCCTCTGCCAAACAATTACACATCGAGGACAAAAAACAAACCAAAACCCACTACAAGATATATCTTTGTTCATCCTTTTCCACTCCCCAAAGAAGAGAAACCGTTACATTTTGATGTTAAAACAAGTCTTCATGTTATTGTTATTCCCCTAAGCAGAAGTATCTCACCATTTACACAGCAGAATGTTTCTTGTTTTCTTCACTCTAACAGAAAAGAGTCTAGTAAAAGAGTGAAAAATAGGACAGCATCTCATTTGGCAGTGCAAAGCAATCTTCTCTGTTAATTACAGACACATGAGGAAATTAATTTTAATCATTAATTTAGCCATTTAGAATACTTGCTAAATGGCCTACAGGAATATAAAGACTGTGTTGAATTCCCAGTCCTTCAAAGGAATCAAATACACCTTTTAAACATATTTGTATATGTTTGCCTCTCTCACGTTACAGATTTTCCATAGAGACATGCACTCCTCTGTAAGTTCTCACTTTCCATTATAAGGATGTAAGGATTAGACAGCAAAAACATACAGCTCGTGACCACCTGATTTAGGAGAACTACTTTATTGACATCTGGGACAATCCATGAAGGCTATAACTATATGGTGGAAAACAGAAGAAGACGACTGCTGCAAAATACAGGCACCTGAATACTGTGCAGGTCCAGAATATTAAAAGGAGTTCCTTGTTAAAGTGGTAAAATTCTAATTAATAGTGTTCATAGAGAGACAGGATCCATAAACAACTTAAAACACAAGAAAAACCTCCTGATAAGATAATAATCAAACAATTTATTTATTTGTTGGCATCAGCTATGAAAAATTGACAAATGTAGTAGAGCAACTTTGAGTATGGAAAGCTGATGGTCCATTTGCTAGCAGTCCAATATAGAGTCAGCTTATGTAGTAATCCTTGAAAATGAGGTATAAACCTGAGGTTATTATATTCAACCTCAGACCACCTAAGAAACTACTTAATGCTTAAAGAGTTACTACTGGGGAAAACCAAAAAAATCGAGAACTAGTGGCATAACATCAAAACGCTAATGATCTTGAGTCTAATCTCTGATACCTAGACAATAAAGCTGAAATATATACAATTAAGACTATGTTCTAAGTGTATGTTCGTGCTTGATTTTGAGCATTCAGAAGCATTATAACTTTCTATGGTTTGCTGTTTAGTGAGCTTTTAAAACACAGTTAAGGAAAAAAAGATAGTACAGTTATTGAAAATAGTCAGGACAAGTTTATCAGC